CCCCTGGGACCCCCCGCACCCCCCGCACACACAGAGCAACGCTCGGCCCCACGGAGGCGAAGCAGGGCCTGCCTTCTTGCCACCTGCAGGGGAAGGACATGGATCTGCTGAGCAGCCCAGGGACCAGCTCCTCCAAAAGCCCTTTCTCTATGTGACACGCGCTCTCCGGTGCGGGCTCTGCTCTTTGTCCGTTTCCCACCTGACAAGGAAATGCAGCACGAGGGAAAACAGGAGCAATTGCTCCTTGGCCAAGGTAATATGAGTACCCCACAGGTCACTAACCCAGGGCTTCCCCACGGCTGGGCAAAGAGACACCAGGTGAAAGGACGGTGGGGGCATGAGGCCCCTAAAGGCTGGAGACACGTGGCAGGGCGGCAGCGCTACCTCCTCCAAAGCACTGCCCAAGGGTGGAGCCTGCGCGTGGCAGCCCAGAGCCCCGCAGCCAACCTGCCCATCCACTGCTAAACAAACACGTTCCTCTTCGCCAAGCCGTCCCAGGGGAGGGCTGTGCCTCAAAGGTTGTGTCCCCGGGGAAGCCCCAGGTCATGCGGAGGCAGGGAATTCCCCGCAGGAAGAGGGGGCCGCTCACATTTGCCTCCGCAGCCCCATGGGGTGCCCCCTCGCCACCAGTGCTCCCAGGGGCAGAGGCCTGGCTATGGGGCCATGCGGAGAGGAGGCAGCGCCCTGCAGCAGCCAAGGGGCCGGGGCCAATCTGGAGGGTTGTGGGGCAGGAGCGAGGGGCAAGAAGGGGGCCTGGCACCAGCCTAGCAGGAGCTGCAGGGCAGGGGCAGAGCTATGCAAAACTCACGTGGTGGCACAGCCCTCCGTCCATCCTTTCCCGCTTTTCCTAGTTCTGGTAAATCAGGACAGGGAGATTCCCTAGAAGGGTTTTCGATCAGACAAGGCTGTGGCACCTGTGCCAAGGTGTCCTTTGCTCATCTTCGGGGACAGCCCCTGTTCTTCCAAACATGCTCCCAAGTGCCATGTGTTGGAAGAAGCTGCAGGATGTGCCTTTTTTTTTTTTTTTCTCTCCAGGTATAGAGCAGATAAGACTTCTCAGGCAAGGGACTTTCCAAGGCAATTCAGGTTGAACTTTAAGCCTCTTGCTGCTTTCACTTTCCAGAGCCAAACTCGGCTCCCGGGGGACAGAGCCGCACCAAACGAGAGTGTACGCTGGGGTCGCACCTCGCTGCAGTCAGCCCCAACGCCTCCATCCACCCAGGAATCCCCTGGTCCTTCCGCAGCTCCCCATGTCATGCCCACAGCACCACATGGTGCGCAGTCACACGCGTGAGGTGGAAACCCCAGCGGCCTCCACCGCCAGCACCTCGCTCTTCCTGGCTTTGGTGGCTCTGCACTTCAGCAGGGTGGCTGAGGGCCAGGAGATCTGGGCTCAGCTCCCAAAGCCCAAGCCAAGGACTAGCAAGTTTGGACGTCTGTGCTGCAGAACATTAAACATTATACAACCGGTGACTTTTCCCAATCAAGCAGAGCTCAGGTTTTCACCTGGAAGCTGGGACATGCCTGCTTCTAAGGACTGGTTTCCCCCTCTGTTCCCCTGCTTCCCTGAGATACAGCCTCCTCCTGCGCTCTCATTTCTGCATTAATTTTCCTCTTTTCCTATTGCCAGGCCTTGACTTCCTAAAATGGGTGCAAAGCCTATGAGTTACTTAGGGGAAGCACAGAGCAGCCGCCAGCGTGGGATGAGCCTACTGCGTGTGTGTGCATGCACGTGGGGACAGGGGCTCTTTGCCGTGGACAGATGCATTACAGTGACGCAAGGCAGGAATTCGGACTGTCTCTTGCTAACCTGGACACCTCCTAACGCCAGGAGAGGCGAGGTAGTGATGCTATGTGAACCCCCGCTTTATCTCAGCCAAGGCAAAAGCCCAGCTCCTGTTTCGGCACAGTAGCCACGAGGCCAGGCCATGGTCAGAGTGCTACGCCTGCTGGCATACAGTGCTCACAGCTGAGCCACAAACCCAGGGCAGCAGGGATGGAGAGATCTCTATCTGCTGCTAGACACCTCTCCTCATCCAGGCCCAGACCTTTGCCAGAAGGTCCCTTTGCCCTACTACACACCATGCTCAAGCCGTTGCCCTTCCTTCAGCTGCCTGCATGCTGCTGCTCTGCCTTGCACCAACCTCCCTGCTTGCTCTCTCCCATACTCATGCCTGCAGCCCTGGGGAGAGGGCAGTGGGGACTTTTGGAAAGGGCAGCAGGGAGTTTTGAGATAGAGACGCTGTGGCAGGGAAAGCACAGCCAGCTTAGGAGTAGACTGCTGGGTCCATCTTCAGCTTCACCACTTGCCCACTAGCTCCATTGTGGAACAAGGAGAATCTTTAGTGCTATATATCACAAAGGTCTGTGGATAGAGATGATGATGATCTACCCGTCATCAGAGATATCCATCATCCTGGAGAAAAAGGGTCAGAGCTGTCCATCCCTGAGGGTGAACACGTCAGGTCTGAACACGCAGGACTGCCCCGTGAGGCACAACCCATTCCTACAGCGCTTCCAGCTCCCAGGTTTGCAAGCTACCTGAAGTGCCTGGTAGGAAAAGCAGTGCCTGCAACTGATGCTAAAGTGATACTCAGCTCTGACACATAAGCAGAATTGATGAAGTTACTTCAGTTCCCTGGGTATTTTTTTTCCCTCCCTCTGGAAAAGGCCCTGACTGTGGATACTCCCAGTCCACAGGGCAGGAACCTTGTCCCTCAGAGCTTTTTTCCCTTTCCCAACTCAGACTAGAAGTATCTAGGACAAGGAATCAAGCATCCAAAAAGATTTGCTCTGGCAAATATCTCTCTCTCCAGATAAGCTCACTATTCACAGGCCATAGTAAGAAGAAATTGTTCCTGGCTCCTCACTTTCTTTCAGCAGATGTGTAGGAAATCACGCAAATAGTTCTCACAAGAGAAACTTGTTAACAGAAGGAAATGGCATTAGCATCAATATAGAGAAGAGATAGCAGAGAGGAAAACAGCAGGGGAATTCCACACTAGTCCTGCTCTCTCATTCCAGCCCTTTAACCTGCCCTGCTAACCGCTTCCTTGGAGATATCATGAACCTTTGCCAGCAGGCTCAGGAAACACAGTACCATCCTGCCCTGCAGCCCTCTGCTAGCCCAGCGCTGGGCTCCCTTCCTCCCCCCATGCAAACACAATTCCGTCCTGCTCTGTAAAAACTGTTCCCGCTTTCCTCTGACAGCTCCAAGGAAGCAACTGATCCCAGCCAGCTGCAGCCTTATCCCATGCTCCCTGCCCTGGGTCTCCCACACGCACTTGTGCAGGTCCCTTTTCTCCTCCCCAGGGCTGCACGCAGCTGCGATTTGGAAGGGGGCTCCATGTCTAGCAGGAAGAAAAGTCCTGTCAGCCAGAGCGCAGAGGGATGGCTCCTTGGTGGGTGCTTCAGGCTTTCTGACTCACTGAGAGCTCACTGGAGCTCTGGCAGCCTTGCTGGAAAGGGAAGCGGGGAGAGGCAGTGAGGTAGAAAGGGGGGTGTCCAAATGCTCGTGCTGCCCAGCCGCGGCAGCACCACTCTTTCCCAACCTGCTGCTCCTGGGAGCAAAGTGAGAGTTGAAAATCAATGCACAGAGAGGGGAGGCCCCCTT